GATAATAGACAGTCCTGGTGGCATCCCAGAGCAGCCCCTGAGGAAGGATTTAATTCGGGATGCCTGAGGACTGACCAGATACTCGCTCAGCATGGAATGCTACGTAACATTGAACTGGCACACAGAGGACCAGTTCAAAATAGTCTTGATTTTCCCAGTGTTCTCAGAGGCTAGAAACTGAAATTATACATAAACTGGTATAAGTGATGAGAAACCAGTTCCAATCTGTAACACAACAGACATTCAAAATACTCAAGGTGGAATCAATCTAAAATATGTGGTTTTCTGTAAGCGGTGTAGGTTAGAATAGCAAACAGAACACGCATTTACCCTTTGTTGCAGGAGGGCGGGGGCAAATCCTAGGCCAGGTTCTGCCATTTTTGAACCATTTTTTATTTTTCCATTTGTGTGCGCCAAATGTCATATTGAATGTAATAGTTTGAATGTTTGTAATAGTTGCCCATTAGCCAGTTTAGAAAAAGACAAGATTCATCTCATCTAGGCCTTTGTTTTGGCCTACGTGCGGAAGGTCTGGGCTTTGCTCAAAGTCTTAACTCTAAAGATAAAGAATTTTATCTTTAGAGGCCTTTAACAAGATTAACATAAAACGACCCTTAAGCAAACATCCCACATCCCGAGAAATCAAACCCTAGATGCCTTTGAAAAGATTGGAAAGAAAGGAAATTCCCCAAAGGAATTAAATGATCAGCAAAAGAAACTGAACCCAGCAGAAATCTGTTAAGTAAGATCCGAGCCCAAATTTGGGAGTAGTGACAGGTTTGGGTAGGAGGGGCCCAAGACAGCAACTCACTCAATAAAAACTGTAACCTACTGTCACAATTTGGAAGTAACCTCACTTGCAGAACAACGAAGGAAGAATCGCAAGTGTAGGCCGGATCAGTCTGATCACCTGAACCACCCTCTCCGTGAACACGAATCTCTTAGTTCATGCTGAAGCCGCGGAGCGCCCGAAAGGGACTGAAGGAAGGGGACTTAGTCCTATCAGTATTGAGGCCAGCCCATTGAACCGTACTGCTGAAGTGAGCCCATTGAACTGTACTACTGAGACCAACCCATTAAATTGTACTACTGAGGAATGAAAGCATATTTAGGTGTTTGGCTTCTCGGAATTCTAGGATTGTAAGTATATTATGACAAATAATAGTATTGATTCAAATCTAACTTTGAGTTGTAATTGTAGTTGTTTTTGTAATATTAATTCTTATAGCATTGTTTGGGAAGGAAGTGCATTTGGAGCATTGTTTCTGATATATGTAGTTATTGGGTTCTTAATGTTTGTGGTATTTCTTAAAGCTAAGCAGTGTTATATGCGTAGCAAAGCATTTTAAAATAAAATTGTGTTGTATGAATTAAGTGCGTAATCATTGTGAAATCGTGCAATCAACTAAATACTCCCTCAGCCAGTGCATCAAACGAATCAGTAAGTTGTGTGGGATTTTCTCTATTACATAACCCATTAGAGACACCAAACTTCTGTTCTGTTTTAGGTATAAATTAGTTTCCTATCACTTATACCAGTAAGAGTGTACCTGGCTTTTGTCTTGTTACAGATATGAACCAGTTTCCAATTACTTAAACAGGTTTATGTGTAATTTCTGTCCCTTGCCCAGAGTTCACTGCACATAAACTGCTTTCAAAATGGCTGAAACTTGTTTAAGATAAACCTGTATGGATGTAGTATCAGATTTAATTGATTTAGGTTAAATTGGTTTGTTGAACATATATCCCAGATTCCCTCCAGATTCAAGATAACTCACAGTCCCCCAGCATCCCAGGATGCTTTGCACCTCCCTCACAACACCTCCCTCCCTCTTCCCCTCCCCACAGGGTGGGCAGGCTCGCCTTAGCCCAAGCTGTCTGCTCTAGCTAAGCAGGGAGCATGCTCTAGCACCCCCCAGCTTCGGCCTGGGCCACTTCAGGCATGTGGCTGCATTTTTGGAATGAAAAGTTTAATGTCTGTTCACTTACTTAGTGGTTCAATCTACGCAGCGGAGGATATAAGTCCAGAGCCTGTGCTAGCCAGCTAGTCTCTCCCTGGCAGCCACAGGGTGAAGAGCTCTGGGCAGCAGGGCTCTTTCATGGATGGCTGTCTTGTCTGTGGAACCCCAGTGAACCTTGCAGATCTGGCAAGGATACCCCAGGGCTGGAAGGTATGCAGACACATACAGGAAAGCAGCCCTCTGCCCCTTTTACATTGCGTTGCGTTGCGTTGCGTTATAGTTACGGTTGCGGTTACGGTTACAGTGGTAGTTTGGTTTGGGACTATAGGGGTGGTATACGGAGGTCCCATTGGCTTCCATGGGGCATGCAGTCGCCTTGAGCCCTCAAGCCATGAGCAACTATTGAACCCAGAGCCAGAGAGGCACCAGGGGTCCAGTGCTCAAGAGATGCATGACCACACATGGGCCAGGTACCAGGGGCCAGGTGCCCAGCACTCAAGTGGGGCACAGCCTTAGAGGGGACAGGGGCCTGGCAGACAGGAAACAGAGGCCCAGTGCCCGAAAGGGCCAAACCGGGGCTAGAGCCTCAAAGCCAGGTCGGATACAACGAGCCTGGGCCAGAAGGCCTAGCTGAGAGTAAAGGGGTGGAGAACAACATTAAGGTAGCACCCGTGAGGTTTGGGGCATGGTGTAAGGAGGGATTGGAGCCACACAATTAGCCCCTTAAGGCTTGAGGTGCCCTGTGGTGGCACTGCTATAAAACAAGGCCCAGCAAGGGGCCTGAGGATCAGTGAGGCCCAGCGAGGATCCTAGGGATTAATGGGGACCAGTAGGGTGCCAGAGAGTACTAGCAGGGGTTCTGTTGAACTGGGGCCACGTGAAGGCACCTGCAAGGCGTGGCAGAAAAGATAGAAGGGAGGACACCCTACAGGAAAGCAAGGCATGGTCGCAGAGCCACCAGTAGGTGTCATGGCCGCCCCTGGGACCCCGCCATGCTACATCTCCAGGGACCTGAGTAGCACTCTTGTTCCCATTTCTGCTACAACCATAAAACAGCATGTGATGCTGTAAAATGCTATGGTGCATGAAGAGCTGTATGTACCCTTGTTCTCAAGGCCCTAAAGACTCTGCCTACTAATAGCTATGAATTCAGGAATTACATTACCAGTAGTAATACTGTGTGTGCACCAGGTCTCTTGCTTCTTCTGGGGACTTGAATTGTTTTCTTCACTGAGCTGTGTCTTGGGTTCAGTAGAGCTGCTTGCCTGACAGCCTGTGTATAAAGAAAACTTTCAAACCAACTCATCACTAGATTGGAAGTAGAAGATTCTTTAGTCTGTTGGTTGCTAATAATCCATCTCTTCACAATCTGTTGTAGACAGTTAAAACATGCTTCATGCACAATAGTAGTGTTGTAATGCAGACATGAATTGGAAGGGGCTATGGCAGGGGGGGGGGGGAAACAATCCGCCAGACGAACATTGGCGGTCCGCAAGCTGAATCTGGCCCACCAATTGATTGCACACAGTCCACAGCTGCTCCTATGGTGCTCCACATGGGGCTAAGCCCTGCCTGCTCCTGCTCAGAGCAGCCTGGGCCACACTCCAGTCCTCACCTGCCCCATGTCAGCCAACATTGACACCCCAGCCCTGGCCCTGGCCCTGGCCCTGGCCCGAACCCTAACCAGCATGCACAGCTTCCCAGCAGGGTTTCTCCTGCTGCTGGTACTGCTGCAGCTGCACAGGTACTGTTTAGCTTCCCCAACCTCCACCAGCTCCTCCTCCTCCTGCACCACTCTGGGAAGCAGATAGCACAGAGAAGTAGTGGTAGCTGTCAAGGCATAGGCCGAATACCGCACACACAGCAGGTCAGGGGAAGCTGCAGCCAGCTGGCTCCTGCCCCGGTGCATGGGGCTCCAGCTCCCAGCTGCCTTCCAGCCACTTCACCTGCCCAGTGCAATGAGCAGCCACTTGAAGAAAGATGAGTAGGTGGAAGGTGGCCAGGACTGGGTCCAGGACCAGTGCTGGGCCTGGGGTGGTGCTGTGGGCAGGCGTATGGTGGGTATATGCAGAAGCATGTTGCAGGCTGCCCCGGGTGGGAGTGGGCGGGGCTTGGCCCCATGCAGAGTGCCACCGAGACAGCTGCAGGCCAGATTTGGGTGTGGACCACACCTACACTGTTAGTGATTCTTGTGGGCCATGAAGCAGAAGAATTGCTACTTAAATATTTTTATCCTTCTATCTGGGACAGGTCTCAGAAACAGCCAGTCTGTCATTTGGCCACTTCTCTAAAACTGGTGCTTCATGATACAGAACATCAGTTTTCATTAAAAAGGAAGGAAATCTGTTGTTGTTAAAGTTGCAATTAAAGCTTAAAACTATGGACTGAGGGCTAGCCCACACAGTGAAATGGTACAGCTAATATTACAGTATTGGAGTTAAACTGACATAAAGTCCACATAGGGGCATTGTGGCCCCTGACAAACATTACTTTTATTGCACGAGTAGTTAATTGGGAGATAAATTGTGATGTGTTACAAATGCAAAGTAATTATCATGTGAGGAAAATGGCCAACCAGCTACACAGATATTACTTGTTAAACGTGGAACATCTTTGTGGCTGGTTTGTATTGCTGATGAACTTGAATATGTGGCATGTTATGCATCACGTGATAAGTCATTTCTAGTTCCTCAGGCATGCTAAGAGACACCCCCAACTCACCCAACTCTAGTATGCAGCAGCAATATGTGTAGTAAACACAGTCCTAAGCTGTCAAACAGAGAGAGACTGGGCATGCTCTCTGCCTCCTTGTCCCTTCCAGCAAACTGGAGCTCTGCTCATTGCCTTCACAATTGCCCTGGGCACTCCCCCAGTGCTCAACAGTTTACAATATATTGAAGATAGTGACAGAAATAGTCTAATAGGAATAGATGACAACTGAGATAATATTTGTCTCATGGAATAAATAAGTGACGTGAAGCTTAGGCTTTAAAATTGTCTGGGAGTTTGGAAGAGGCCTGCTCTATTAATCTGAGTTCGGGTCTGTGAGAAGGTAAAAAATAGGCAAATTAACTGTGACAAATTCCATGCTGTTAAGATGTTGGGATGACCCCAGGCCCAAGCTTCTCCCTTCTGTTCTGCTGTGTATCTTCAGAGATAAACGAGATCTTCCTTTTGGGGTGACTCTTCACCCACTAGCCAACCTTAGTCACCCTCACCCCAGACCAAACCTTTGCAGCTCCAGCAGAAACTTTCCCTGCTGAAGAAGAGGAACGCCTGAAGCACCAAATGCTTTGTGATCACATTTGCCACAGACAGTCAGTAAGGCAAACAGGTAAGGGGTTTTATTCAAGAATATGTAAGACATACAGGCAAAAGAAACTAAAGATTGAGAGGCAGATGATAGAAAAATAAAAGGTCAAAAATACAAGATCTCAGCCAACAATTTCCCTGAAGGTAGCTTTTCTTGGCTCTCACCATGCCTGTTCGCAGACTCCCTCAGCTTGCCCCAGCAGAGCCCTCGATGGATTCCCCAAATTTGGGAGCATCTCATCTTTTTTACCAGCTTGGAAGCTGGGGCCAGAAAACATCCCTAGGGATTTCCCAAACTCCCCTCTGGTCTAAAGCACATGATCTGAGAACCTTCATTTGTTTCTCCTTCTTCTTTCTGGAGAGATTAATATTATGCAGACGAGCTTTCCCTCTCACGAGGTGGGACATGACTGAAGGTGTGTCTGCCCCTTTGTGTTGCTTCCTTTTCCAGACAAAACTTTTAGGCTAATTTAATTAGGCATTCTTTCGGTGCATACAAGGGACAAACATGACCTTCTCTGAATGGCTACTGCTCCTCATGGCAACCCTGTCTGGACTAGGCATTGGGTTTGTGTCTTGAGTGTGACAAGTCAGGTGGGGTAGGAGAGAACAATATGATCTAAGCCATGCTGTGGGGCATCCTCAGTGGCATCCTTTCCTCCTCTACAGCCACTCCATAAGCTGCCATTGCTTATCTTTTAGACAGTCCTCTGAGTGGCACCTTCCCACTAAAGCCTATGGACTTCCCTGGGTCTGTAAGCTTGCATCCCCCTATTCCTGTGCAGCTCCTGTTCCCCCAGAGTATGCCATGTCCTGCTTCTGCCAAAAACTGTGGTTCCAGCCCCTGGGTCTAGCTTATATGTGCCTCCACTCATCCCCTTCCTGGTCTGAGGCACTCCTACCCAGGATCTGCAGTTTTAGCCTAATTAGCAATCCTGCTGCTACCCTTCACTGCTTATAGGCTGTGGGCATGTTGATCTTCTGGTGGACAGGTTCACCGCGTGACAAAGAATGAGAACCTGTGGTTTTACATCTGCTATCTCACAGAATGAGTGTGGTGGGGGAAGGTTTGAAATATAATGGTCCTCTATGCTTTTTGGTAAGGCAAAATTGGTGAAGGGTCAGCATTTGCTCACAAGAACCTTCTCATTGCTTGCTCGCTTCATCTCTATACTAATAAAAAATTATAACTCACTATGTTAAGAAGTTGCAAAGGTTGCAAAGTCAGGCACTCAAATGTCAGGAAAAGCCAGTATTAAAGTTCTCTTGTTTGTCTGCACTGTGCTACAGTCTCTAATTATCCGATCACTTCCTCTTGTCTCCATGACCCCGTCTCCCAACCTTTTTCTTCCTATTACACTTGCTTATATCCTTCCTCTTCAGTGTGTGGCCCTATGCACAATCCAAACCCAGCAATAGATAAAGCAGTGGTTTTCAACCTTTGCAGAGTCAGGGTACTCCTGACAACTTCTTTGAATATGGTGGCATCCTTGTGAGAGAACTGATATTGTGCTCAGCTAACCTCAGTGGTTCTCAGCCAGGTGTTACTGCCTCCAGGTAAGACTGCCTCACATGCCTTGTGCACGGCCAAACTGGGAATGGCTATGGCATGTATGTGCATTTCCTGCATTAGGGTTCTGATAACCCTAAAGCAGGCAGGAGATCTGTCTAGGGCAGTGGCTCTTCCTGGTGCGACCCTGCAGTCTCTTGGACACAAGAACATGGAGGGGAGGTGGGTGCAGACCAGGAAGAACTGCAGCCTAAACTAGTTCTCCTGCCTGCTTTAGGGTTATCAGAGAATCTTAATTTAGGATTGTGCACATACTGCAGCCCTATACAAGAGGCAGTTTTACCTGGCCATCACCATCTACAGCATCCCTGAGCAGTTTTCACAGCACCCTGGGGTACCATGAAACCCCAAGGCACTCAGTGGAGAATCACTGAGATATTGTCATTCATTTCCTGATGGACTTTTCAACATCTACCCAACACAGTGTCTGAGTTTTCCAAACAGTAATATGATTTAAATTTCATAATAAAATGTATAAGGTTAAGTGTTATTATCATCCTTATTTTATGGATGGGGCACTGAGAGATTAAAAACCACAAATTCTTAGAAGGGCCATTTATTAATCAGTTGAAAACAGGATTATACTGGGCACATCTACATGAGACACTTAACAGCAAATTAGCATAGTTTATTGTGAAGTAAGCATGTGGGTCTACACGTGCACAAGCTTATTTCACAGTAAATCTCCTTGATCCTGAGTTAATTTGCTACCTGCAACATAGCATCATGTGTAGATGCGCCCACTGTGCAGTAGTTTACTGCACAGTAAATCTAGGTTAGAGTAAATGCATGTGGAGATGCGCCCACTGTCTTCTGCATTCTCATTCATGGCTCCCACTGGCTCCACCATCTGTTACTAGTGTTCAGCTTTTTGCCACTTGGAGCTCAGGGTCTCATATTTGATAGCCCAGTAAATGAGAAAATATATGGACATTGCCGTAAATGATATAAGTAGAAGCATAACAACGATAACACCCCTGTTCCCTGCCTATACTCACTATCCCCAGTGAGGAGTTAGCATCCAGCTCCAAGTAGAAATGGCATATATGGCAGATCCTGAATAGACTGAGAGTGGGTCTCAGAAATTGCACTTTTCTCAGGAAATCATGGGGCCTGTATGTGGATGGGTTTTCATGTGTGGGAAACTTGCTTGGCTGCAGCTGTGGCTTGTACTGTACCTATACCTTAAACAAGCAGAGGATTTCAGGCAACCCAGCACCTTTAACAAGCTGGAACTTAACCATATGTGCAAAATCTCCCTCCTCAGGCTCAATGTATATATCTGATAGGCAGTGTGGTTTCCTCAGCTTGGCCTCACAACCACCCTCCAAAATGCAGTTTAATTACCACAAAGTATTAGCAGCAACCCCCTAGGTCACCTTCTAAATGTT